TGGTTGTTTATCCCATAATCTGTCAGAGTTTCCTTGTTCCTATAAACTGACGAGAGGAAGAGGTGGCGCTTTTTCTGTTAGATGCGTGACGCCTGGATGTGACACCAGCAGCCGTCTCTTGGCCATAAGCGATCGGGTCTGAGTGTGCCAGAAAGATGGCAGGAGCCATGGGCCCTGGGTGAAGCTGAAGAGCAGCTAAATTTACCAACTCTGCAGCCATCTCACCTCTGAACACTCGCGATTTATCCATTCAAAATGGTTATTGAGCACCTGCTATGTGGGGATACAGCAATGAACAGAAGAGGGAACATTCCAGCCCTCAGGAAGCTGGCATTCCATCGGAGGAATACAGTGGACAATAACTAAGTAATTATGTATCTATCTATATATAACTAATAGCAATAAGTAAATATACATACGTCAGGTGAAAATGCGTAAATCAGGGGAGTCAGAGATGTCTATGGGGGAGAGGAGGAGAGATTCAGCTGGTCAGGGAGTATCTCACTGAGAAAGTACCATATCCATGTAGAAATGGAAGGAGATGAGGGACCAGACTCGCAGGCACCTGAGAGAAGGGCGTCTGCATAGAGGGAACAGCAAGTACAGAGGCCCTGAGGCAGACATGCACCTGATGTAGTTGAGGACATCCCAGGGGGCCAGTCTGGCTGGAGCGGAGGGAACAAAGGGGAGAGTTATGGGAGATGAGGTCAGAGAGGCCATGAGAGCCAGGCAGCATACCGCCTCGCAGGCCAGCATAAAGACTTGGCAGGGAAGAGCCTGACCTGAAATACCTCTCAGAGAGTCACTCCGGCCATCACATTGAAAAGAGACTGTGGTCTTGAGTGGTTTGGATCAAAGTTGGGGCAGTGGATGAATGAGGAGGATTTGGATGCTTCCTATGTCTTGAAGACAGAGCCCACAGGTTTCACGAAAGGATTTCATGCCAAGTTTGGTAGAGTTGAATCAAGTATAACTCCAAGGTTTTGATAGGATGGATGGAAAGGACGGAGCAGTCATTTACCTCTAAATCAAGGGTGACCATGGCAGCAAACAGTTTTGGGGAAAGGTCAGACATTCAGTATATGACATCTTCTAGAAACCTAAGTGGAGATATTGACCAGAGGGTTGAATCCTGGATTTGAGGGGAGATCGTGGGGCTGGATATGTACATTTGAGTGTCTTCAGCAAGAACATAACATTTAGAGCCATGAGAGAGAATGATGCCACCAAAAAAGTATAGTTAGCAAAGAAAGCGGTTCCAGGACTGTGCCCTGGAGCATGCTGAGTTTAAGAAGTTGGAATATTGGGCAGAAACCAGCAGTAGGAACTGAAGAGTTGCCAGTAAAACAAGAGAAAACCCAGGTGGGTGTGATGCCCTACACACCCGGGGAGAGGGATAATGGTGTCAAATATGCGGAGTGGTCACCCCCACCCCCTCACTCCCACCAAAACTTAAAACTCTCAGAGTGGCAGCATCTGCCTCTCAGGGATGACTTCCTGCTGTGGCGGGTGGGAGGGCTTCAAGGAGGAGGCAGTCCCTCATTTGACCCAGGCAGGATGGGAGGGCTCCAACAGGGATGTGCCCTACCCTCTTTTACTTTGGGACATGACCCAGCACAAAAGGGCTGCTGAACAGAACAGAATCAAGGGACTAGTGGACCAATTTCCTTTGGCTGGTCAGGTTGGGGTTTGTAGGATGCTAGGGGGTGAAAAAGCCTAGGAAAGGCCAGGTAGGCAAGGAGAGGCAGAGATTAAGGGCGGCCGGGCTACTGGCTCGGAACCACTTGTGTTTCCCAAAGGTCCTCTTGTCCATCTGGGCACACTGGCCCACCAGACTTCAGTGTTCTGGATGTGGCTTAAGATCAGAAGCAAGCTCTTTCACTAAGTAGCTAGTCAGCATGTCCCAGGCTTAGGTGACAGAGATCCACACGGCAGTGAGACTGTTGTCCCCTCTCTTAGAAATGAATATTCTGGGGCAGTGTTTGCACCTGAAAAGTGTGCCTCAGTGACAACCAGGCTCCATGCAGTCAAGGAACCCAGCCCTGCCCTGCCGTAGCTAAACAGAACATAGTGTTTCTGAGATGCTGAGGTTCAGACAGGAAGGGAGAAATAGAAACAGGGCTTGGCCAGGATCGGACGTCACAGATAAGGCACAGACAGGAAGTCTGTGAGATACAAGAGAAGGGGCCAGAGGACCTGGTCATGGCGTTGATCCTGGAAGGAGCATTGAATTAAGGAACCAGAGTCCTAGATAGAGTCTTGTGGCGTGCTCCTTACTGATACTTCCATCTGTTCCCACTACATCGGGGGCTACAGCCGAGTGCTGGGTCCTGTGCGCTGATGGAGAAGACTCTCCTGGGTATGATGTTCAGAGACAAAAGCCAAATGGAAAACAATGTGTATCATATGCCCCACTATGTTAAAAAAAAGCAGTGTGTATGTACACACCCATGGGCATGCACAGTACAAGGTTTGTCTCCCACCATAGAGGACCTGGATGTGGGTGCTGGCAAGGGGAGACTGAACAGGCCACAGAGCCGCCTCTTGTTTGGACTTAAAGCTAAAAGTGAAAGAAATCTTCCCAGCTCACATCTGGTCCATCCCAGCCATCCTGAAGAGATCACATGAGACTTTGGGCCAGAGCTCAGGGAAAATACAGATCCGTGGTTCCCAAACATAAGCATTCATAGGAATCCTGCAGAGGGTTTATTAAACAGATTGCTGGGTCCCACCCGAAAATTTCTGAATCAGTAGGTCTGGGATGGGACTCCAGAGCTTGCATAACTAGCAAGTTCCCAGGGGGTGCCCATGCTCAGGGTCCTCACTTGGAGAACCTCACCCCCTCCCTCCCCAAATGCACCTTGGCCCGGGGCCATGATAAATATTGTTCCTTATTGTAGTGACTTGCTTAACTAGCTGTGACCCTTGCTAAGCTGTGGGTTCTTGTCTGCCTCTCTTGTCACTGCTATATCCCTAACATTTAGCATGGTGCCGGGCACCCAAGGAATATTTATTTAATGAACAAGTACGTTTGCCTCACATGTCCTTTCTGTGGCATCCCACGGAAACCTAGAACAGAGCTGGAAGACCAGCCAAGGACTAGAGCCTTGTATTGACCTGTCTCTTAACCTTAGACAAGACCAAGGAAGAGACAGGCCTCACAAGCCTCCATTCTCTGAAAACTGACCTACCAGTAAGTACAGCAAAGAGCCAGGTACATGCAGACCTCACATTTACTGCTCTGGGGTTGGGGCTGAGAGATGATCGGTTTGGCAGGGCCCCCAGTTTGGCTAGCAGGGAAGGTGTTGGGGGCTCAGGTGTGCTGTTCAGCATGCATCTGAATTCCCTGAGCATCAACGTGACTGTCAATACCCTGTGGCCACACTTCAACATGCCCCTCTACATGCTGCAGGCTGCTTCCTGAGAATGCAGGGCTCCCTGCCTGGTGAGCAGGCTTGACTCACATGCAGGGCAGACTGGACACTAAAATACCATGAGAAGCAGCCCTCAACCAGTGGAGGGCTAGAGTTTTGATGGATACATACCATTTCCTCACCTCTCCAGCTTTGCAGTTGGGGTGACTCTGAGGAGCCCCCCAAGCTCCCCAGTAGGATGTAGTTCCACTTGCCTACTGCAGTGAGGGCTCTTTAACATGCTCTTCATCGGCAAATTCCCTACTTGTTACCTGCATTCTGTCTCAGGGTTTGTAGCTAGAAGGGAGGGCCCAGATTAAGAGAGGCATCATTAATGTCTCAAGCACTACATGGAATCATTCATTCATATGAATGTATATATCTTCATTTAATCCTCTCTATAAAGTTGGCATCATTAAATTCACTTTATAGAAGAGGAAAGAAATATTCGAGAGCTTAAATAACATGTTCTAAATTAGTAAAGGTAGACCTAGGATTTGAATGCAGGACTGTGATTTTCAAAGGTCATTAGCACTTCCCCCTTGATGCCCTGCCCTCTGCACAAAGGCATCAAGTTCCAAGGCCGTAGCTATCTTTGTCAATCTCATTGTCTGCCATCTTGCTCTTTCCCCTGTAGACAGTCTGCCAAAATGGAGATCCCCAACCCCAGTAGAATCATGAATGCTCTGTTGAAGGGGAAACTCAGGCACCTTGCCTAAAGTCTTCATTTTACAGATGAGGCTTGAAGGGACATGTGACAGTTTCAAGGAACATTCACACTTACAGTTTCTGAAATGGCACTTTGCAGTGATCCTATGAGGAAGGGCAGGCAGAGTTCCCCTTCCAAAGAAAGGGAAATGGGGACTGAAAGGGACACAGGTGGGGCAGCCAAGCAGCTGCTGGTAGCCTGGGGAGAATCCTAGTCAGTGTCACTCGACATACATCTTTCCTTGGGCCAGGAGCTCTGTAATATTTGTCACATACAACTTGGCTTGTGCATCCTCCTATGCACTTAAGGATTCAGTGTTCTCATTGGATGACTTGGGAACCAAGATTTAGAAAGGTGTGATCTCCCCATGTCTCAGGTGGAGAGCTGAGATCTGACCTGCATGGACCATTGCATGAGACAGGAGCTGGAGATCAGAGAGGGACAGCTGAAACCCAACCAACAGCCTTGAACTCATTCCAGGCTGGGCGTTCCTGAGGCAGAACTGCTCTGTGGGGCTTAGTGGGGGAGGGAGGGGGGCACGGGAGGGATGGTGGGAAGTCAGAGGTGGAGGTTACTGGAGAGCAAAAGAGAAGCTGCTGCCTCTCTCTGGCTGTGGCAGCCAGATCATTTTGAGGAACAGGACAGGTTCCGGTTTAAATGCTTCTATTTGCAATCTTTAAGAAAAAGGCTACTCACTGACTAAGAACTCTAGGGCCTGCCCCTAATCTCTCTCTCACACACACACACACACACCTGCCCCCAACACACACACACACACACACACCTGCCCCCAATCTCTCTCTCTCTCTCTCTCTCTCTCTCTCTCTCACACACACACACACACACACACACACACACACACACTCCCAGCCTTTGACTGATATTTAGGAACCTCTCTTACCAGCCTTACCCAACTAAACTCCGCCCAGCCCACACTACCCAATCCCCTTAAAGCAGAGCTTCCCAGGGAGAAGCACACTGAGTGAGCAGAGAAAATCCTTCAAGGGAACCCAGCCTTGAGGAACTAGCCACTGCTAGGCGTTGTGGCCATTTGGGCCACTTAACCATTCAAAAAGAAGAACTTTGCCCCACTCTTGTCATTCTGAAGGACCGTGAACCCTGAAGTCCTATATCTCTCATCGTACAGGAAGCTGAGTACTTCATACTCAGTCAGGACCTTGAACCTTAAATTCGTAAGACTCTAAGGGCTCCAGAAACAAAGACTTCATAAGACAAAATCCCTTGAGACCAGAGTAAGTAGCACTTGTCTTTTCTGTCTTGCCAGTTACTCTTGAGGACAATCTTGTTTGAAGGTGGGCTTGCAGCTGAGGAGACTGTAGTCCTCACATTGCAGGACATAGTTTACCTGTCTGTCTCCTCAAAGGCGGGGGAGTTCTTTGAGGGCCAGGCAAATGGCCCATTGGTGCATCTGAGGCAATTAATTGTATAGCAATACTAAGAATGAGTGTATTTAAAAGACTGGTGCTCAGATGTAAAAGAGGTACTTTTTCCTAACAAAAGGAAGCTTTCTTGAATGATTGATTGTTGGTGACTGATTAAGAAAGCCACGTTTTCTTATGTCAGTTAAGAAAGATGCTCTCTGGGGAAAGCTATTCAAGAGGAAACTATCTGTCACATTTCTCCATGTAACGGAAAACAAAGCATGGTGTATGAAGAAGTTTTAGCAGAGGGAAATGCTAATTAGAAAATGCTTTGCAGGTACAAGGATGATTTGATACTGAACCAATTTCTTGAGAAGACTAGAACCAAGCAGCCTCAAAATCAGGACTCCTGACTGTATTTGGAGGAGTTACAATTTAGTCCACCTAAAGGCAGGGAGATGACCTCTTGGGATGCATCCATTCTGTTCTGCTAACAGAGAGGCAGGTCAGAATTTTATTCTGAAGATAGAGATGCATGAAGGGTTACTTGAGATATCTGTCTCAACTGTTCCTCCATAAAATCTAGAGGGTCCCAGATTTTCAGAGCTGGAAACTCCTAGAAATTTATATAGCCTGCTACCAGGCTGTGTGACCCTCTCTGATCATGTAGTCCCCACTCTGACTTACAGGGTGGCACTAGGCTATTCAGACTGTGGGACAGTGATGTGATGACAGAGATGTGGCTCTCCTGAAAAAAGCCCTAATTCTAGTGTTTGCCAATTTCCGTGGTGTAAATATTCCCACTATGGTAGATTTCAAGCTATCAATAGGCTGATGGTGGAGTTGGAAAGAGGCACATGATTGGTTCTTATGAACTAGTATAAGCCAGCTCCTGCACTCTACCAAGCCTGCATGCCTTACAATCACAGAGACCTTCTCTTCTCAAAGACTTCAACTTCCAGGCTAGAAGACACTGGCACTGGAGGCTTCCAGGGTCCAGGGCTATAGGTGACCATGGCATGAAGATCTTGGGGTAGATTTTTGCAGCAGGCTGCAGCAGGGCTGGCAGATGGGTTGGCAACATGGTCCTTTAGTCTCTCCTGCAAGGCCCACCCCTGGCCATCTCCCTTTGGGAGCAGTATGTCCTGGGTTTGTTGCATGGTGTCCAATAAGCTGGAACTGCAGGTGGTGGGTACATGTGGAGATGACTCTCTGTTCAAATGGCACCTGACAATGGTGACTTGATTCACCTTCATCTTTGCTAAAATTCCCCAGCAACTGGGCTCATGGGCTCAGTCTTGCACCAGCTGCTCTTTGTGCTTCCAAGCTGCTTGCTGCTTACCCTATAAACCCACTGGCCCGCACAAAAGTGCGGGCTACCAGGCTGAGCTATCCACACTGACAGTGGCAGCAAAAATCAGAAACTGCCAACACAGTTTGGTCAGTGACAGCCAGCCTGTCTTTCTCCAGAAAGACAGCTGGTCAGGTCTAGACAAGTCCAGAGAAAGAGAGCCATGGGGATGGATTTGACAGGAAATGACACCCCTCAGCTAGAGTGTCTCATACCTTCAATGTGCCTTAATTTCCAAGGACCACTGAAGAAATGTGAATTCTGTAAGCAGGAAACATTTATTAAGCAGTGTAGAAGGAAGAACACTAGAGATTCCAGATTCCAGATGGGAATTATAATGTAGGAACCCCCTACTATACTAATTGGCATTTAAGTCAGATCAATTCAGATTGGTGGTAACATATTGAAAAAGTGCAGTTCACACGGAAGGGGCTGTCGTTTTCCATCATTGTCAAGCAGAATTCAATTTCCAAATTAACTCTGGAGAGACCTGATAGGGGCAGTTGGGAAATGAGGTACATCAGCCAGAATACGATTGGAGCCTGGGACGTTCCTGATGGTGACAGGCCTCAGAGAAGGGCCACTGCAGGGAAGGAGGAGCCCTAATATTCACTGAGGGCCCAGTAAGTGCTGGGGGTAGCTTTTACTTTCCAGGAGCCCTGCCCTGCAAGGTAAGGGTTATTTGCCCACGTTCCAGATGAGGAGCTGAGGCTCAGAGAGGTAGGTTAACTTATCCATGGTCATACAGATGGTGGGTTACACCAAAACCCATGCTTCCTTTGGGGAGGTATGCTCAACAACTGCAAAGGATTGAAAAGGTGCACTGCTAAGCAAGGGCTGATAAGGGGGTGGCCTACAAAGTCCCCTGCAGTGGTTCTTTTGTTTGTGTTTTTTGTTTTTCAAGGCAACTCTGAGTAAAAATACCTAAGACTTATTTCAACAGACTCCAGCTGCTACCTGGTTGCTGCATGGCACTTCATCTGGAGGCTGTTCTGAGCATTTCCCCCTCTGACCCCTTCTTCTCATGAGGTCACTGTACTTTCCTCTGAATGCTCCTCACAGCTCTCACAGAAGTCCTACTGAGTCACCTGTAGACTTATTTCTGCCACGTCAGAGTCATGTAACATGAGCCAAGCTGAGCTGACTGGTGCCCTCAGCATCCTCATCTACCAAGGGATGGGGGTGGCCTTCTAGAATTTCACTATAGCAACACGACTGGTGTTTGGAGTAGGATAATTTTTCAATTACAGGACGTCCTTGTCCATGCCTGCCAAGTGACAGTAAAATCCCTTAGTCTTTATGGCCAACGAATAAAAATAAACAAAAATGCCCACACATTTTTGTGCGTCTCCAGGGCACTATGTCGTCCCTGGTTGAGAACCTTTTTTAGCTCCCCAAACCATGAAGATCCATTTATAAATATTTGACTTTCAGGTAGGACTGTTTTCCCTCCCAGAGTCCTTCTAAGCGAGGTGGGGCAGGGATGGGGACAAGCATCATGATTAATTTTTCTTGCCTATGATAAAAAATGCCAAGATATAAATAGTTAATAAGAACAGGAGGGACTCCATCTTAAGGCCAAGACTCCATTCTAAAAGCCAGGGAGTTAGACGGTAAGATGTGGTAATCAGCCGACAACCGACCCTATCTTAAGTCAGGGCAAGTAGTCCTAAATGATATGACCCCACTGCTTGAGGGTAACCACAATCGTGGAGAACAGAATCAAGAATTCCTTGTGTTAAGCTTTTCTTACAGAATATCTAGAGAACTGACTATGGATGGTGACATAATGTCTCTCACTGGAGATGGACATCACAAGGCCACAAGTCAAGCCTATGCCACTGCAGCCCTTCACCCCACCTTTTGACCATTCTCGAAAGCCTTAAAAGACAGCATCCTAAGCCCTTATGTGTGCCTCCTGTCTGAGGTTGCTCACACTCCCCTTTCTCTGAGTGTTACTTTTCGCCTTGAATAAAGACTTCTTCTCACTGCTCATAATTGCATTTTGTCTCTGCGCTCTTGCAGTGGTAAGCATCCTTGTTTCTTCATTATTTTATTCTATTTTATAGACTTAAGCACAAGTCTTCACTCTCTCTGCCCTACTTCAGACAAGTAGGGAAGGGCTACTAAGATATGATTTGGGCTTGTGAGTTCCCGTCGCCTGGGTGACCCAGACAGACCTGCAGCTGTATGATCATGCTCTTTAGTAGCCTGCCCATAAATCTCCTTTCTCTGCCTTTTGGAAATTCTCAGAATGTAATCTCCCTCCATCCAGTGCTCTGTGGCTCCCCCCAATCCTTGAGTAGTAGGGACTCAGTTCCCATGCTGTGTAGATCCAAGCAGATGCTGGACTCCAGGGGACCCTGGCTTTAGGAGTTGGCAAGGGATCTGCCCTGTGTCAAGCATTTCAGTGAGCTTCCCTTTTCTCCCTCTGCTTTACCTTGTTGTCTGCTGCCTGTGCAGCTGCTGCCATTCACTACTACTCTCACTTTAATGAATTCCTTCCTTATCTACACTCGTCCCACCTGGTGGAGAATTCTTTCTGGATCAGAGTCAAGAACCCTCCCCTGCCTGGGACTGAGGTTTCACCTGTTATGCCAGGAGAGACCTCCCCAGATGCGACTGCCTGACAACATAAGGACCTCATAGGGAAAAGTCATTGCTCGGTGATAGGAGGCAGGAAAGCCAGTGGTTTGGGGAATGGGCATGAGAGCAATACATGCCTGGGTTTGAGTTCCAGTTCCAGCAAGATATGTGTCCCAGCCACTGTGAACTTCTGTGTTATCACCTCTAAAGTGGGGCTGGGCTGAAGGAAGCACCTCTGAAAGGTTGTTTAACAATAGGTCCCATGCCACGTCCATGGAAGGCATTAGAGATGCCAGGCAATCCCACCTGGGGAAGTGTCTCCCTGCATGCTAGGTGAAACTTCAACCCAGGAGAGGGTCCTTGACTCTGACTGAGAAAGAATTCACGAGCAGGTTGAACAAGGGCAAGCAAGAAGAAATTCACTAAAATGAAAGTAATAGTGTGTGTCAAACTTGCATAGTGCCAGGAAGAGAGGCCTTTTATTTGTGTAGCCATGCAGCGAATGGAAAGCAAGAAAGAAAAAAGGGGAGAAAAGGAAAGTTTGTTGACCTCCTGTTTGGCATAGGAGTGCCAACTCCTAACGCCAGGGTCACCAGGCATCCAATGTCTGCTTGGATCTGCATGGTGTGGAAATTCTGCCACCCCAAAATTGTGGAAGCCATAGAGCTCTGGATGGAGTGAGTTTATGCTCTTGGAAATTTCCAAAACAAAGAAAAGGAGATGTGCAGGCAGGCTGCTAAAGAACACAGTCATATTTCTGGAATCCCACCTGGGTTCCACAGGCAACAGGAACACACAAGCCCCCTAATCAGAGGTCCCTGAAGCCAGTTCCCTACTTGTCAGAAATAAAACAGGGAGGGAGAAAAGAGTTGCATTTAAGACTAGAATGACACCACCAGTGATGGAAAGGGATCTCTTGTTAACCTCCTGGCTGGCTTGAAAGAATTCAGAAACCAATTGCAATAAGCCAAGCAACAAAAGATTTTATTTAAAGCAAAGTACACACTCAGAGAAGGGGAGTGTGGGCAACCTCAGAGAAGAGGTGGCAAGCAGACTTTATTCAAAGGGAAAGTAAGGTTTTATTTAAAGTGACTGCACACACTCAGGAGTGTGGGCAACCTCAGATGGAAGAGGCATGCGTAAGGATTTATGGTTTGGGGTTTTATAGGGCCTTTAGGGTAGGGGTTAATATAACATGGGATGTATGTAAGTTATTGATTTTTGCTTTGAAGGTTTGTCTTAAGAATAGGGTTTTCCAGGTAACCATGTTGATTCATGTCTCCAAATTCTTTATCCATCAAAGTTGACAATTTTCTGCCAGTTCATTATGCTCCAGAAGTCTGTTCCTTGTCTTGGATACAGACATTACTTAATTGATGAATGTGACTAGAAGAAGGAAAACATGAGAAGAAAAATAACATGCTAAAGTTTATGTTAAAGAGTAACCTGGCCTTTGTTTTCAGGCTTAGTAAATTTTATAATGGCATAATGTTTGTCCCATGCCCCTGCTCTACAGCTGCTGAACTTTTCCTTCATACTTTATGCCAAAGCAATTGAACTGATGACTTTTGCATGCATTTGTTTATTGTGTGCACCGCCTGTTAGGCTATGGGTTCCACAAAGGGAGAGAGAACCTAGGTCCCCCTGGCTCAGCATTGCATCCCAGGGCATGGTACACAGCAGGCACTTGGTAAACAGCTGTCTAGTTGGAGACATATAACCATTGTCTTGTTTTTGTTGTCTAGAGCCCACTACCTCTAACAGCAACATACAGAACCCATTTTCTTTAACTCGTGGGAGAAGCCAGGATGGAAATGTCAGCCACCTCAAAGGACTATGCCATGACCACAGAATATAACTACGAGGATGCAACCCCATGCCAGAAGGGAGAGGTGAGGGACTTTGGGGCCCAGCTGCTGCCTCCTTTGTACTCTCTGGTATTCATCACTGGCCTAGTTGGCAACATCCTGGTAGTCCTGGTCCTCATGCAATACAAGAGACTCAAAAGTATGACCAACATCTACCTTTTTAACCTGGCCATTTCTGACCTGCTCTTCCTCCTCACACTGCCTTTCTGGATTGACTACAAGCTGAAGGATAACTGGGTATTTGGTGATGGCATGTGTAAGTTCCTCTCAGGGCTTTACTACATAGGCTTGTACAGCGAGATCTTTTTCATCATCCTGCTGACCCTTGACAGATACCTGGCCATCGTCCATGCCATATTCGCCCTGCAAGCCCGGACTGTCATCTTTGGTATTGTCACCAGCATTGCCACCTGGGTCCTGGCCATCTTGGCTTCCATCCCAGACTGGCATTTCTCCAAAACTCAGTGGGAGTTCTCTCATTATACCTGCAGTCTTCATTTCCCCTATGAAAGCCTAAAAACGTGGAAAAAGTTCCAGGCTCTGAAACTGAACATCTTGGGACTGGTTTTGCCACTCTTGGTCATGATTGTCTGCTACACAGGGATTTTAAACATTCTGCTCAGGCGGCCAAGTGAGAAGAAATCCAAAGCCGTCCGTCTGATTTTTGTCATCATGCTCATCTTCTTCCTCTTTTGGACCCCCTACAATCTGTCTATGCTTGTTCATGCTTTCCAAGACTCCCTGTTCACCAGGGAGTGTGAGCAGAGCAAGCAGCTGGACCTGGCCTTGCAGGTGACGGAGGTGATCGCCTACTCGCACTGCTGCATCAACCCCGTCATCTACGCCTTCGTCGGTGAGAAGTTCCGCAAGTACCTGCGCCAGCTGTTCCACAGGCTTGTGGCCGTGCGCGTGGCTAAGTGGCTCCCCTTCTTCTCCCCTGGGAGGCTGGAGAGGGCCAGCTCCATGTCCCCTTCCACAGGGGAGCACGAACTGTCTGCTGGGTTCTGACTCAGGCCCCTGGAGGCAGATCCAGGACCAAAAAGGATCACCTGCCAGGCACACTGCCCTGAGAGGAGGCACTGCGGCTCTCCTGGCGGGATTCTGACCCCCTGCCGTGGCGTGGAATTGCAGTCCCTTGGGGTTGAGGTCGCTTAAAGGTGGTCTAGATTAAATCACTTCCATCGGCTTGAGTCTTTTCCTTGTCTTTTCCATAAACTCTTTCCTGGTGGAAAGGAGGTGAGTGAGCCAAATGGGACATTCTGAAGACTGGGACAAAGGGTGCCAGAGAAGGGCTTGGGCCCAAAGAGGCTTTCAGATTTGTGAACGTTAACATTTGTAAACAAAGTCACTGAACGTCCCCCACACACACACACTACCCCCACCGTCAATGCACTTGGAAATAGTGATTTCCACAGGTAACTCCGTTCTGAGCATGGAGCCAATCAGGAGCCAGCAGCCCCCCACCCACCCCACCCCCACATGCACTGCAGTGTTTAGATCTTGGAAACCCTGAGCAACACAGAACTCGTGAGGAAGAACATGAGGCCTAATGGGAAACAGGATTGGGCAACTGCTATTGGCAGTGGAACTAAGAAAACCCTAATAAGAATGTTTACATTCCCTAAAATCAAACAATTTAAGTGGTGGCTAGACACAGCCCATATGTATAATACACTGTAATTCTTTAAATAGCCAGAGAGGGGAGGGAGTCATTATTCCCATTTTTGCCATTCCTTTCCTTCTGAATATATTTAAGGATCTCCCTTCCCTGTAGGCTGGGTGATCCGGCAGTGAGCTCCGACGGCTTTATTTCAGAAACTGCTCGCAGGCTGAAGGAGGAGGCGCTGGTTACCCTCTGCGGGCCCCGCCTCACCCCTCTGGCCCCGTGGGTCGGAGCTCTGGCGGCCGCCTCGGACCCTCAGCAGGAAACCGACCAGTGTGTGAGGCGCCCGTGTTCCGGGCTGGGAAGGAGGAGAACGTCTCCCGGGAAGGGGCAGGGAGTGGGGGGCGGGGGGAGCTCCGCAGGAGCTTGGGGGGGCCCTTAACTCAAAGGGGACTTGTCCCGACCTTCCTTGACCCCTCGTCTCCCAACAAGGGCCTCCTCTGCACCGTGTCTTTCTTCCTTTTTTGCTTGTATGTATATTTCCTTAAAAATAATTGTACCAATTGTTTCTAAAAAAGCTTAAAAAACACGAAGGAAAAAAACAAACATCGAAACCATCCATAAGCCCACTACCCAAAGACAACTATTGTACATTCTTTCAAGTACTTTGTTTTAGTTTGTCTTTTTCCTGCGCATATTTATGATTGTAACAAAGACGGACTTCAACTGTATCATTCTTCTGCTATTGCTGTTTTTAAGTAGTGGTATGTTGGAATCGCTTTCCCAGGCCAATAAATCATGTAAAGCATTGGTGTCCGTGCCTTCACTGAATTCTATTAGGAGGATTGCCTCTTAATTTACTCCACCCATTTCCTCATTATTGTTGCACAAATCAGTTCAATCCAGGAACAGTGACAGAGGATCCACTCCACTCCAAGCGAGCTCTCTGAACCCTGGGAGGCACAGATGCAGGAGGGATGTCTGCTCAGTGAGGTGGACAGGCACAGGGGCGCCACCAGAGCCCAGGCAGGATGGGTGGGGCTGCTGCGGAGTCCACAGGGCCAGGCCAGCAGAGGGGAGGAAGGAACGCATCAGTCAGAAAGCAGCCCGGGTGGATGGGTGTCCGGTCTTACAACACAGCTGGCCTCCCTCTTTTTGAACACTAGAGTTGTGCTCTTATCAAGTCACTTTCGCCATCGGTCAGAGACCTACTGTGTTCACACGCCAACTTTATACAAAGAAGCTGGTATAGTGAAGGTTTGGAAAACTCTTGTCTGGGGAGGAGGAGGTTACACAGCCCTGGGATTATGCCTCCACACAGAAAATGTGACCAAACAGGATTTGGGGGTGAAAGCGGATGTCAGCTCTCCCCTTGTGAACTGGTTGCCCTCTCAGCGGTATGGAGAGAAGGAAGCTAGATGAAATTAAGAAACATTTGTCTGCTACTTCAGTAAAATAAGACTACAACAAAAAATAATACTCAAACCACAACAATACCATGATGAGGAATGTTTCAAAACATACTCCAGTTCCATTTTTGAAATAATGCTGATTTTCTAACTTGTTACAAAGGTAATACAGACTCATGGTAGAAAACTGGAAACAGGTAAAAAAAAAAAAAAGAGAGAAAATGAAAGTGCCTGTACCCACTACCCACTACCCACACACAGCCTTTCTTGGGTTTCATATTTCAGCGCATCTGCTTCCAGTATTGATTTCTAAACACACATGCATATAGAGGATCACAATATTTTTGTGTGTAACCCCAGTAAAGTTTGACACAGAGTAAACACTCAGCTGGTTGAATGGATGACTCTCTGAACCCCTAATTTCTTTATCTATAAAGTGATGATTAGACTAGTATCTACCCCCATGGGGCTGTTCTGAGGATTAAATGAAATAAAGCAAGGAAAGCGGGGCGATCTTTCTCCACCTCTATCAGATAATAGCTCTGACTCCTCCCGCCAGCGCCCCCCTCCATCACTCAGGACAGCTCCCCAAACTACCTGCCTGGCTCTGCCTCCCCTCCCTGCTCCTGGGCGAAGGGATCGCACCCCACTCCTTGTTATTGTTGTTTCCACTGTTTTCTCCATTCCATCCTTTTGGAAAGGTTGCCAGAATAGCAAAAGGAACTCCCACATTCCCCATCCCGATTCCCCAGATCTCAGCATTTTACCACATTTGCAGTAAAGTCACCATTCTGTCTCTCCCTCCCTCTCTCAAAAGACAGACATCCAAGTAGACAGATAAAAATATACCATTTTTTCTCCAGAACCATTTGAGAGCAAGTTGCAAATATGATGCCTCATCACCTTTTGTACTTCACAATGATTTTACAAGCAACAAGGATGCTGTCCCACATAAGCAAAGCAGTAAACTAACACTGACAATATCACCACGTAATTAATCTGCAGCCCTTTTCAATTTTGCCCACTTGGCAAATAATGTCCTTTATAGTGCCGGGTTCCAGAAGCACTTGTTTTACTTAGTTGTCATGCCTTTATAGTTTCCTTCATTAGGAACAAGTATTCAAGCTTTTCTTGTCTTTCCTGACCTCAACATTTTTTAACGCTACACTTACCTGACAGATGGTTCCTTGTTTGAGGTTTGGTGATGTTTCCTGATGATTAGATTCAGGTTATGCAACGAGGGCAGGAATCTCACAGAAACGATGCTGTGTTCTTCTTAGTGCATCATTTCAGGAGGCACATGGTGCCAACCTGCCCCATGACAAAAGATATTAAACTTTATCACTTGCTGTAGAAAGAATCTACAAGATTGCTCCACTGAATTTTGCACTTATTAATTAATAAGTAGCTATTATTAGTTGGCATTCCACCTTAAAGTAAAAGCTTTTCTCCTCTGCTTATGTAGGTATTCATTTATATCACCATGACCTCATGGATTCATGTTTTAGTCAAAGGGATAGAATCTAATATTGTCTTTACTTCTTTTGATGCACAAATTGTTACAAATTTTTCTAGTGGGAGCCCCTTCAAGCTGGATCCTATGAGCTCTGGCTAAGATTCCCATCAATTTTTGAGCATTTTCTTACTTTTTGGCACACGAGGGTCCAGGTTTTAGACAGCAAAAGAAACCATCAACAAAATTAAAAGGCAACCTATGGAATGGGAGAAAATATTTACAACTGAAAATCCTGAAGGGGTTAAAATAAAAAGTATACAAGGAACTCATACACCTCAATATATAAAAAAACCAAATAACCCAAATTAAAAATGGGCAAAGGAACTGAATAGACATTTTTCCAAAGAAGATACATTAATAGCCAATAGACACATGGAAAGGTGCTCAACATCACTCATCATCAGGGAAATGCAAGTCAAAACCACAGTGAGATATCACTTCACACAGATTAGAATGTCTGTTATCAAAAAGACAAGAGAAAACAAAATCTGGTGAGTATATGGAGAAAAGGGAGACTTGTGCACAGTTGCTGGGAATGTAAACCGGCACAGCCACAGTGGAACACAGGATGTAGGTTCCTCAAGAAATAAGAAATAGAACTACCTTAAGATCCAGCAATTCCACTTGTGGGTATATGCCCAAAGGAAATGAAATTGTCATCTCAAAGAGATATCTGTGCTCTCATGTTCACTGCAGCTTTATAGCAAATGTATGGAAACAACAGAAGTGTCCATCGACAGATGAATGGGATAATTGGAATGACCAAAAGCAGAAGTCCTATTATAAGGACTTATAGAAGTACTACTATAAGGATTATAGAAGTCCTATTATTTTATTGACAAATGGTTGATATACACCACTGTATAAATTTAAGGCATACAGCATGCAGGTTGGATTTACATATATTGTGAAATGATTACCATAAAAGTTCAGCAAACAAACATCTCATGTAGATACAATTAAAAGAGAAAAGAAAAAAGAAGAGAAAAATCTTTCTCTTTTTGAACTCTTAGGATTTATTCTTAATAACATTCCTATATATCATATAGTGATAAGGAAAATATTCAATACAGCCGTCAAGGTCAGCAAACCACTTTTTTCCTCTAGTTGGCAAAGCACTCCCAGCTCCCTCCTTCCCCCTAAGGGCTCCCCTTTTGCCCTGCGCGGGCTGAAATGCCACATATCAATAATACAAATTGCTCCCCTTGCTGTGCTCAGGGCTCAGACCTTGGGAGATTACTCCCCTCTGAGCCCGCCGGTGTGAAATAAACCTCAACACTCCAAGACCTCCAAGTGCCGCTTGGTTCTTCCGTCAGTGATCCGGTCTAGGTTTTTCAGGTTTTTCTGTAACAATAGCAGTGTTAGCTGTAGTCATCACATGCCTAGTACTTGTTTATCTTGTAACTGGAAATCTGTGCCTTTTGATCACCTTCCTCCAGTTTCCCCTCCCCACACCCTCCCTCTGTGCCCACCAGTCTGATCTTTTTCTATAGTTTGTTTTCATTTTTAGATTCATTTTTGAGATCCATCAATGTCACAGATGGTAGGATTTCCTCATTTTTTATAGCTGAATAATGTTCCATTGTACTCTATACATACATATATATTCATTCATCCATCTATGGATAAAGGTTGTTTCCAAGTCTTGGCTGTTGTAAATAATGCTGCAGATGTCTTTTTGAGCTAGTGTTTTCATTTCCTTTGGATATACTCTGAGAAGTGGAATTGCTGGATCATATAGTAGTTCTGAATGGATGTTGAATTCTGTCAAATGCTTTTTCTGCATCTATTGAAATGATCACAGGATTCCTTTCATTCATTAATGTGATGTATCATCCTGGTTAATTTGCATCCAAGGGGTAAATTCCATTTGATCATGTGAATGATCCTTTTAATGGGCTGCTGAATTCAGTTTGCTAGTGTTTTATTAAGAATTTTTGCATCACTATTCATTAGGGATATTGGCCTGTAGTTTTCTTTTCTAGTTGTCCTGTTTTGGTTTCAGTATCAAGATAATGCTGGTCTCATAAAATGAGTTTGGAATTGTTCCCACCATTTTGATTTTTTGAAAAAAATTTGATAAAGATCATTGTTAATTCTTCTTTAAATGTTTGGTAAAATTCACTAGTGAAGCCATGTGGTTCTAGCTTTTTTTTTAATTGGGAAATTTTTTATTACTGATTCAATCTCCTTCTAGTTATAGGTCCATTCAGATTCCTATTTCTCCTGATTAAGTCTTCGTAAGTTGTATATTTCTAGCAATTTTTCCATATGTCCTAGGTTGTCCAGTGTGTTGGTATATAGTTGTTCATAGCAGCTTCTTATGATCCTTTGAATTTCTGTGGTATCCATTGCAATGTCTTATTTTCATTTATAATTTTATTAATTTGGGTCCTCTCTATTTTTACATTTGTTAGTCTACTTTATCAAATTTGTTTATCTTTTCAAAGAAACAACTCTTAGTTTGGTTAATCTTTTCTACTATGTTTCTGGAATCTCTGATTTGTTTCTGCTCTAATCTTTATTATTTCCTTTCTTCTGCTAACTTTGGGCTCAGCTCATTCTTCTTTTTCTAGTTTCTTAAGGCATAGAGCTAGGTTATTTATTTGTTATCTTTCTTGCTCCTTAATGTAAGTGTTTATTGCTACTTCTTTTTAAAAGTGCTTTTGCTGCATCCTATAAGTTCTGATATGTTATATTTCCATTTTTGTTTGTCTCAGAAAAAAACTTGCTTATTTCCCCTTTAATTTATTCTTCCACCCATTGGTTGTCCAAGACAATGTTATTTAATTTCCCTATGTTTGTGAATTTTCCAGTTTTCCACTTGTTGTTGAGTTTTAGTTTTATGCCATTGTGGTCAGAGAGGATACTTAATATGATTTTAA